TAATTAGACGATAGAAGCAGCCACGCCCCTCTGTCAGAGTATAGGAGACACGACCCTTTTTCAGACGATAGGAGGAGACATACCCCTCAATCAGATGATAGGAGACACGCCTCTCAATCAGATGATAGGAGGAGACACACCTCTTTTTCAGATGATAGGAGGAGACACGCCCTTTTTTCAGACGATAGGAGACACACCCCTCTATCAGATGATAGGAGGAGACACACCCCTCTATCAGACGATAGGAGGAGGTCATTTGCGTTTAGAGCTCCTAAACCAAATTTCAAACTGCCCCTCACTAAACCTCCGCCTGTAGTGACTGACCCAGTCAATACTTCATTCACTGATGGAAAGAGATTGGGTGAGAGAGAGAGAGAGTGTGTTTGTTTAACATTAACATGTAATGTGTAGGTGTATTCAAAATAATGACCCAAGAACAATCTGTTCGGCCACCAGATCCTTGGACTTTCAGGGAAGTAAGTATTTTAATGATTTCGTATCTTTAGGTTTGATAAATTTGCCGCTATTTTCTGTTCATTTTTTAAAGGATCAGTTGAAGAAAGAGATAAGTTTCATTAACCAGTACAAGCCATTGATGAACGAGTTTGAGCAGTTGATGAAGGACTCACCACACGTCTGGAAGTATCCAATAGACAACCAGTTACCAAGGTAACCATTAATATTAGTGTTATTGTTTTATTATTTGTTCAGTGATGAAGACAATGTTGGTTTTGAGGATCACGTGTTCCTAATGAAGCACATTGAAGATAAGGACTTGCCAAGAAAAGGTAACAGCAACTAGAAACTGATTCTCGAATTTCCATTCTCGTACTGCTTCATCACAGGCCCAGTTAGGCATTTCATGGAACTGGTTGCGACCGGACTCTCTATGAATCCCTACTACACTGCCCAGGAGAAGGTTGAGCACATTGGATGGTACAAAGACTATTTTAAACAATTCCCTAGGGACGAACTGGACTTGGAATAAAACACCACTATTGTTATTAAAATGTATGTATTATAAAATGAACGATTGTAAATATTAATATTAGTATTATTATTATTGATAATATTAATTGTTGCTTTTGTATATGATTATAATTAGCTTTCATTA